TATAACACATGTTTTCAAGGCTTAGGGTTCAGTAGAGCTACGTACTATCAAGTTCTTCGTTTATGTTAACGCAGGCTCTAGCTAGTCTGACGCTTCCGAGACCTTAAAGAAGTAGGTTAAGGAGGGAAGGGTTAGAGGAGGGGGGGTCGGCCAAAAAAAAAACATATGTATATATATATATATATATATATATGGTATAGGTAACTAGTAATTACTGAGGCCCCTATAGTAGAGACAAGACGAGGTCCTCAACCCATCCGACGTGGTCGCCTCCAGCTTGATCCCCTTCACGCGCACTGCCAAAACCTTTCAGCTTAGCAGGATCAGACGGTTTAGGGTTTAGGGTTTAGGGTTTAGGGTTTAGAGTTTAGGGTTTAGGGTCTAGGCGGGGCCTAAGTATAGTCACAATATGGCTTTGGGGTATTATGTTGTACTACCACTACAACTTGGAACCCCAAAGCAGTATTGGTAAACTCTTTGGGCCGCTACGTTACAACACAAGACCGCCCAAAGCTGGAACAATAAACTCGTGAAGCCCTAAACCCTAAAGCGTAAAACCCCCTAAACCCTAAACCAACACGATTCGGGGCTGAGGGTGGATTCAGAGTCCATGTCCGAATTACTTCAGTATATGGGAGTTTCCAAAAATTAGGGGTACCTTATTTTGGGGCCCTTATAATAAGGGTCATACTATTTAGGCTACTATCTTAGGGTCCCCTATTTTCGGAAACTCCCATATGGCTTCAGGGTGGTAGGAAATTGTATGTACTGTCTAAACCCCCCCAACCCTAAACCCTAAACCCTACAGTAAACGTCGCATTTAGAGGAGCCTGGAAAGCTTGGGCAGTTGGACACTCTCACGTTCTAGGTCGGCTTTTGATGGCTTGGGTACAGGGTTTAGGGTTTAGGGCTTACAGCTTTCCTCCATGCTGGCGAACCTGGTTAAGACTGATTGTGGGACTTACAGGCTGTTTGGGGTTTAGGTGCCTGAGGGTAGAGGCCTTCATGAACGGCGAAGCAGGTGAAAACCCCAATCGACGTCCTATGCCTTCTTCAAGAAGACTTGAGCGCGGCTCGAACAACCTGCTGGTAGCACAAAGTGCAAGGCTTCGAGATACTCTTGTATAGGATAGGAGTTACGGATGCAACTCAGAGATTTCCTGAAACATGCAGCTACAAACAACCTGGATGCCAACCTGGATCTTGCGAAGCCGAATAAGCCAAATGCATAATACAGCCCACTTAGTAGCTACATACTCTAACTAGAAATAGGAATGCTAGCGAATGGTCTTACCAATTATTCAAGCTTCTACATTGACTAACAACGTTTGAGCCGAACACTCAACCTCCAATGTGCCAAATAGATATCCTGACCTAAACCCTAAACCCTAAACCCTAAACCCTAAACCCTAAACCCTAAACCCTAAACCCTAAACCCTTGCACACCCCTAGGGCTTGAGGCTTAGGCCCATCAGCTTCAAATGACCAGTGCTTATAAGGGTTTAGGGTTTAGGGTTTAGGGTTTAGGGTTTAGGGTTTAGGAAATTCTGGATGCTCCGAATTTCCTGTATGCAGGGTGCATTGAGCGCATCATATCGCACCTCTTCATGACGGTGGATCCAGCTCACGGACAGCACCGGCACATTGATGGACAAGTTCCAACCTATCAGATTGCACCGTTTTCCAGGTGGGAACCCTGCTGCCGTCAACATAGCGTTTTGGAAGTGATAAGATGCACCTTCAGGACATATTCGAAAGAAAACCGTATTAGACCCAACACCCACATATATATATATATATATGTGTGTACGTATGTGTGTGTATATATATATATATATTTCTCGATTTGTACATGTATGCATTTATGTACCTAAAACTATGTGCATATATGTAGAAAATATATTTCTCATGGATCTGTAACATCTATCTGTCTATCTATCTATCTATCTATCTATCTATCTGTATTCTATATGTATACACACATCTCTCTCTCTCTCTATACACATGTGTATATATATATATATATATATGCGCACGCATTTACACTATTGTTCGAATTGCGTGCATAGAATTTCAGCCAGAGTATAGAAAGGAACAACCACAACTGTCTTGGGACACCCAGGCTGTTTCAGTTACTAGGGTTTGGAGGCTTCACCTCCGAGGATGTTCTTGAGGGTTCTCACGCCAAAGCCCTAATTCGTGAGATGGCTGCCGCGACGAACGTCGGACCTGGTTTATGCGACAAGAAGGGGTCAAACTTGGTCAACGCCGTTGAACACCTGCTGTGCAGATAGCAAGTCCCGAAACAATCGAATCTTTGCCACGTCGACAAAGCCGGACTTCACGTTAGGATCCAGCATGCGCAGCTGCAACATTATGCTGAAACCACTCCCTACCCATAGGCTCCATGGCAGTTCCTTTCTGGGATTACCTATTATGGGATCCTAAGTACAAACCACAGAAAGGAACTATAACGGAGCCTATGGGCAACCATCAAGTCTTGCACTTGCAGCCTTTCTCTTCGAACCGGAGGCCTCCTCGCCGAAGCGTAAACCAAACGATGGTCCCGAAGTCATCCCCAAAACCCGTAGCGGTTTTAAGGTTTAGGGTTTAGGGTTAAAGCCGCAACCCGAACCCCCAGTTTCTGAACCCTCCACACTTCCACTCTATTCGTCTAGACCCTACATCCTAAGCCCTCATCCCTTGTTCCTGCGGTGAAACCTTATCCCGACTAACTGCTACAACATGAAAGCATGCCCGTTCCCGGGTTCAAAGCCACCCCAAACTCTGCTCGCAGCGATAGGTCAGCAAATAACCGAAAAACCCTAAACCCTAAACCCGAAGCCCGAAGCCCTAAACCCTGAACCCTAACCATAAACCGTGAACCCTAAACCCTAAACCCTAAACCCTAAGCCCTAAACCCTAAGCCCTAAGCCCTAAACCCCGAACCCTAAACCCCAAACCCTGAACCCTGAACCCTCACCCAGGAACCCTAGTGCGCCTAAGACCCGAAAGTCTCGCAAGGCCCTTGGCAAAGCCGTATTAGTTATTCTAGAAACCTTGAAGCATGGCCGAAACCACTGAACCCTACACTCCCCTAAACCCTAAACCCAAGGGCCCTAGCCTAGGGTTTAGGGTTTAAGGTTTGAGGTTTAGGGATATAAGGTTTAGGGTTTGGGGCTTAGGGCCTGAACTCTTTGCCCGAGACCTCTACCTCAAAAGCCTTCAACCCTAAACCCCCTCCACTAGAACCTACATCCCCCACGTACTAAATCTCAACAACCCTAACCCTCAAGCGCCAAATCCTGAAACCCTACCCTAAGGGTCCAAGTGCCCACATAGCAGGGTTTCAAGGTCCAAAAACCACTCAGAGTATGGATTTTGGGACCTAAAACCTTACTATTTGGGTACTCGGACCCTCTGGGCGTTCTAGTTCATATAGTAGAAGCCCACCAAAAGTTAAAGTCCTAAGAGCCAACCAGAAGGGACCCTCTGGGCTGCCATCCAGATCCCAACAAAACCCTAAACCCTAAACCCTAAACCCTAAACCCTAAACCCCTAAACCCTAAACCCTAAACCCTAAACCCTCAGATCCCAACAAAAACCATGGTAGAACCAAGGCAATGGCTTGCTTTCTCCTTGGCGCCCTGAGTCCCAGATTGGGGTTGGGGTTTAGGGTTTTTGGGTTTGGGGTTCAGGGGTTTAGGGTTTAGGGTTTGGGGGTTTAGGGTTTAGGGTTTAGGGTTTGGGTTTTGGGGTTTAAGCTTTAGGCTTTAGGGTTTTGGGTTTAGGGTTTTGGGGTTTTGGGTTTAGGGTTTGGGGTTTAGGGGTTTGGGGTTTAGGGTCTGGGGTTTGGGGTTGTCGTCCTAAAGTTTCGTGTTCAAGGCTTCGGGCTTATAAGGGTGCTGTAGGATTCTGGAATAGGGTGCCCTTTAAGGGGTTCCATAGGGTTCTAGAATAGGGCTCCTTCCCCTTATTAAAGGTTCGATAAGTTCGATAGGGTTCTTTTTAAGGGCTTTGGGGTTCGGGTCTAGCCGAGGTTTAGGGTTTTGGGTTCATAGGGTTGGAGTTCAGGGCTTTTTTGTGCTTCGGGTTCGGGTTTGGAGGGGCCACTATGGGGGCCACAGTGTCAACATCACCACGAGCCCTCCGTGCGAAGCACGAGAATCGTTGGGCGCTCTGACTTCTCTCGTACTCCAGCAGCTTGACCCTGATATCTGCGCACTTCGTTGGTGGACTGAGTCCAATCAGGATGTGCTTATTCAACTCGTGGGAAAACCTTTCAGTACCGCTCCTATCTTCAGGTTCTCGTCGTAGGTCCCTCCTGCAACTTTTTCGTACTCTGCTACCAGCTTCTCGTAAGCTTACGGGCTGAGTACCCTAGCCCAAAAAAGGTTAACCTTTTGAATTATAATAGGATTATATAGGGCCCAAAAAGTTAAAGGTTACCTACTCAGCCCCTAAGTAAGTAAGCAGGTAGTCGAGGATCGACGTCCCCTTGGCCATCGCAGGGAGCCTCACCAAGGCTTGTGCCATAGCAAGTCCTCCCGTCCGGGGCTGGGTCTTGCAGGCCGGGTAAGTCCGGAAATCTTTTCGCAAATGACTTCGGGTTTGGGCAGAGTTTAGGACCCCAAACCCTAAACACTACTAAAACCCAAACCCTGTAGACCCTAAGCCCTACAGAAAAAGGCTGAGCTCGGACCTGGGTCCTGCAAACCTGCGGCCTTCCCTTCCGAAAACCATCTGGGCACAGATGTCTTTAGGGTTTAGGGCTTTAGGGCTTGAGGGTTTAGGGTTTCAGGCTTTAGGGTTAAGGGCTTTAGGGTTTAGGGTTTAGGGCTTTAGGGTTGAGGGTTTGGGTTTAAGGCTTTGGGGGTTAGGCATTCGGGATTAGGGTTTGGGGCTTAATTTAAGGGTCCATGTACCCAGATAGAATTGCTTTGGCCTTAGAGTAGTCCCTATATAGGTCATTTGGGGCCAAAGCATATACTATGTGGGCACATGGACC